GGCTAAATCATGTTTTGGTAAAACTGCTGTTTTGTATTCGAAAGGAAAATTTAGTGGAAAGTGCTGGACAATGCTGACAAAGTTATTTGTGGGAAAAACAATTTCTTCCTGTCTTCTGAAAAGGGAGAATCTGTGCTGGAAAGGATGTTGCTCTCATCAGAACTTTCCTTGTTGCCCACATCTTTATGGTTACTGTGGTTGTCTCTTTCATCTTCACTGCTTTCCTTGTCACCCACATCTTCACAATTACTTTTGTTGTCACTTTCATCTTCACTACTTTCCTTGTCACTGCTGTTGCTGCCGCTTTCCAGTAAACTGCTTTCTTGGGGTATCACTTGTACTATCAGCATTGTTTAGAAATAAAAAAATATATAATTGCTTACCATGCAGATGTTTAACTCTATTTTAAGGTGGATATCAATTAACCATAGTGCCAGGAAAGTGGTTTCACCAGTACACCATTCAATGCTCCAATTCTCACAGTTGCCTCAATCATCTTGCAATGAACATGTGTTCTCACCATCATGTGCTGTTTTGAGCACATGGTGCTTTAAGATTGTTAAAAATTATCTCCCAGACTCACATGCCCTTTGAAAAGAACTTTGTAAAAGAAAACATTGTGTTTATCATTATGCATTTAACCAGTCCAAAAGGGTGTCGCTGTGATAACAATGTCACAATGAACCAGATATTCATTTTGTTTTAGGTGGTGTCTTTTTTTATTAATTTAAATGGCATATTGAAGTGGGAAGGGGGGCAAATACAACAATTGCTGTTCACATAATTTATAAGAAGAAACCTCAGAGATGACGACATGACGTGACATGACGTGACGCGACACGACACAACATGACATGATGTGACATGACGTGACGTGACATTCTTTATTTTTTTGTTAATTGTTATTATAGAAAAGTTAGGTTTGTAAACTTTGAATGTCAACATGATGCTATGTTATTATGTCTCCTATTCATTAGGCACTGCTTATCCAAAGACTTCAATCCCTTTACTCTTCATTGCTTACTGGATCTTTGCCATGTCATGGTTTCACCCATGTATGTGGCCACACTGGTGGATTCTATCACATGGTTTGCTGTCATGGGGTGTGTTACAATTTGTTTTTTATCATCTCTACATCACATTAAAAAAAAAACTACCGTAGTATATTATTTTCTCTTATTTGCCATATTGATGATCTGTGATGCATTTGCATTGAAATTGCCAGGATACTGAGCCTAAAATACTAATATATAGATTTTAGTAAACTTCAAGATTGTATTTGAAATAATTTCCTTTTAATTTGAAATTTGTCCCTATTTACAACATAAAACTTTGTAAAAATGCGATCTCGTGTTCTCGTCTTCGCTGTGCAAAAGGACTGATCAAAGTTTAATTTACAATTGATTATATTCATGTGGTATCACATGCTATATCAAGCTGTGTCGTATCTGTGCAAACAAAACAAGGTCTTACACAATAAAAGAGTTCGTTAATGTTCTTTACATAGATTTAGCCAATCCTAAAGGCAAAGCTATGGGAGCAGGTTGTTCAACGCCCAAAAATTTTAATTTGAGTTTTGTAACTTTGCGGTCAGGTTTTCTGTTTATATTGTTTGGCTTTCTAAAAACTCAAAAAAGATAAAACAAAAGACCCTCGGCTAAGAAAAATTCAATGTCAGTGCCTTGGAGTCTCTGCACAAAATGTAAGTGTTCACGGCTCTGCTTGGTGGCCCGGAGCTCTGCTAAGAATGCAGTTGGGAGGGTACAGAACAAAAACTTTAATGTGCTTAATGCAAACTTACACAGTTAAATTTTTAAAACAATGTTTGTGTTAAACTCATGTTTGGTATTCGTTTTTGTCTTGGTTTGTAGAAAGTTAATGGATTCATTTAGGAAAACTTAAATATGGTTTTTAGGCTACTTTTCTTTATTTGATACCTTTACATTGCTTCCCACCCCTAAAACAGATTTTTCTTTGAAATGTTTTCCTTTTAGACAACTGTGGCATCAAAGTTCCTGCTTTAACAGGAATCTGTTAGAGATGCTGCTGATCTATACCTTTCCTTAAAGTATCCTCCACTCCCTTTGGTGAATGATACACCATGTGGATTTGCTTGGCATTTGGACCTTAGGGAACCCGCCATTGCATCACAGTTTTGGGGGGACCATTTGGGCTGTTTTGAGAAACCCATTCTGGGTACTAAACCAAAGGAGATACAATATTGTTGTCATATTATTATTATTACTTAACTTTCACTATTAATTGTTATATTAGTTTATTGAGCTGTTACAGAATTTTTTTTAATGTTGAGCTAGATCTATGATCAACATTAATCTGACTGTCTGAATGTTGCTTTGGATATTTTGATCATATATTGTCATTATCCTGTATTGTTTATTTCTGGCCCATCTGTGGACACTCGTATGTAACACATTGTACTGCTGTTTTAAGACCACATGTTGAATGGAGTCACGCTTTGATTTCCATTTTTGACTGCTCCATACAAACCAGTGCAACCAGTAAAACAAAACGTCCCTTCGAATGAAGTGATCAGTTTCAACACGTTAACGCTACAGTCACTAGCCTATAAAGAGTTTATAAAAATATGAGGTGATAGCATAGAGTCTGAGACAGTGTACTCCTTGAAAATAAACCTGTTTTCACTTTTTTTAACAGGTCAGTGTTCCTGAACTGGTGACTGCAGAATTCAGTGCAAACAAACTTGTTAGCAAGTCCCTTGAGGCAGGTCCTGCTTTACCACATCCATTGACGCAGTCTACCCAGCGGTATGTGGTTGGCGACAGATTCCATACCTCTGCAAATCCCCATAAATTGCAACTTTGTGAATTCCACAATATTAATTTGTGCCTTCAGAGAGACACAATCAAGACAAGTTACCAAGAACGTCAAAATAATAGTAAAAGCCTGAAACATCTGCCAAGTGCAACAATGCAGTCTTTTCCTGTTCACTTTGTTTACAACTTTCTCGTGGATTTCTATCACAATGAGGAGATTGTTGACAGACAGAGAAAACATTTATCATCATCATTGACCAATAGTCAAGAATTAAGAAGAGATAAACGTCATAGATTTATTGTTGTGAATAACTGACATTTGATTTGGTTTCAAACAGTTTATGTTTGATAATAGGGAGTTTTAGCCCATTTTTCCTTAATTTTCATCACCTTTGAAATCACTGCTAAAACATTCTCCCAATTTTTCTGAACATTTTGCTTTTTGAATGATGGAAATCAGCCTTTTAGAAGCAGAGTTATGAATTTTTAAATATTACTTAATTAGCAATTTTTATGGACATTTAAATACAAGAGCAAGTATGGATCTTATGAATTTCCAGTGGCACCAGAATTAACACTATGAATTACATTTTCAGCCATAACTTTGGAATGAAGCAAGCTATGGCCATGAAACTTGGCCATGATGTAGAACGTTGACAGAGCTATCATCCTATGCATCAATCAAGTTGCCATGACAACCCTGAGACGTCACATTATTAATTAATACAGAAAATACCAAGAAATAGGGCAAATTTTGATCAAAAGACAATAAGTATTGAATAAAAACAAACAACCTGGCATTTTCTAGCCTTTCTGAGATCAAGGGTTGAGGGATTAAGGGTTCTGTTTCCATGGCAACCACCTCATTTGGTATTATATGTCAGCTTATCAAGTAAATGGAATCTTATAATATTCAATCTGAAATAACACAGACCAGAATAATAACATTAAAGGTGCCTGTTTCCATGGTAACAAGCTAAATGGGGCTGCTCTGAGTTAAAAGACCCTTCTGTGGAGGAGGTATGGATATTTATGGAACTACACAATTCCAAAAAATATGTTGAAGTAAATATTAGTTAAGTAAAATTAAATCCCCCTTGTCTAAATCTTTAAGTAATGGCATTGTCCATTCGTCATCATCTTCATCAATGTCATATTTTATAATGTACTCAGGATCTGCTCCAGCAGTAACACCTTCAGCAAGGTGCAAGACAGTTGCATTAAACCATTCTGCTTGCTCAGAACTATCCTCAATGCAGTTATGCATGACCCTTTTTCCAACAAGGAGAAGAGGATTTTCTCAAAACTGGGGAAGCGTTTTTCTGCTTCGGGTAATTAGGACCTTTTGACGGGAATCTGTTAGCTTCTTTGCAAGCTTGGCTTTCTCTTCAGATAAGGTTTTGGCCGGATCATCTGAACTCCGGTAGGTGAGTCCACCTTCATTTTTGGGCTCTGTTTCTTGAAAGCTGTTGAGTTCAAGAACTTCCAGTAAGTGTTGGGCAAGCTGTTCAGCTGAAAAAAGAACCCATTTGCCTCTCACAGTTTTTCCTTGCTGAAAGTGTTCCTTTGTTGGTGCTTTTGCTGGAAGGACAACTTTCTGAAACTGAAGCTGTGTAACAAGTGCCTTTTGTCTTTCCTTTTCAGAAGCAAACTTCATCAGACCTTCCTTAATTTCTTTTTCAGACTTCCATGGATCCCCCAACTCTGTAATGCCATTTACAAGATTAAGTCTGCTGTTGCAAATTCCTTTCGGCTTCCTCCTTTGCTCTCTGTTTCTCTAACAACTTCTTCCATTGCTGGAAAATTTTCTCTTTTCTTTCCTTGTACCGAGCCAGGATTGCACCAGTATTTGCTCTTACCTCAGCCATGCACTTCTGTTTCTCTTCAGGTGATAGTGAATTAAGCCAAGCAGTAGTTTTATTGTTTGTCCACATGACAAGAGCTTCATGGGAAATCAATCTTGCTGCAGGCTTCAAATGCAAGCGTAAATCAAAAACTCCAAGTTTTCTCTCGGATGCCATGTTAGTTGCAGGAACATTTGCTGCCTGTGCTAACTGCTCAGAAGATGGGGATGCATACTTTCCACCAGGGAGTTGATCTTGAGCTTGTCTTTCAAAGAGGATGATCCATGAGTTGAACATGATCTCAAGGGCCTCTTGTGTCAATGTCTCCAATTGAACACTTTGTTCTTGAAAGAGGCTGTCAAATATGTCATCTTGGTGGATAGGAATGATCTCTTCATCAAACAGAGTTGCTCCTTCCAGTAGTGGGGATGCATCCATGCTCCATTGTTCGAAGCACTCCTGCATTTGCCTCAAATGGGGATTCAGTTCAAGAACAGACGTTGCTTTCTCAGTTAATCTAAAAAGGGGCCAGTGACAATTTTATCCAGAATTCCTAGGGCTCTAACTCCTGCCAAGTAGACATGTTCTACAATGTCTTTAGCCACAAGCTGAAGTAAGTGATTTGGTGAAGGCCATTTAAAAAGGAAATCTTGAATATGGCTTTTATAGTAGAAAACAGCAGCAGAGTTGTAAAATATTATGTTGAAGCGATTCCCGATGAATTCAACCAATTTGCTTTCCACACCATTTTCAGAGAGATGCACATCAAAATACTCTGACACTCCAGCGGTCTGGCTACCACGGGAATGAAAAGCTTCACATGCTGTTCTTGTTAGCCTACAGGAACCAGACTCATTTGAAGAAAGAAATGCCAATGGATTTCTGCCTTCTGTTGCAGCATGTTCAAACAATTTTAAGGCTTTGTTTGCTTCTTCACCCAGATTTACAAGTAAATGCAGTTTGCAATAAAAGTTTCCCATTTCCTCAAGGGATTTCTTCGAATTTTCACTAAGGTCTTCCCATTTCTCCACCACCTTTGGGAGTAATGCCTTTTGCAATTCTGTCAGTTGTTCATTAAAAGTGGCATTAGTTGGTCCTTGATTGGACGTGGTGTTCTTAATGGATGTCACCAACTCTGCAACTTTATCTTCAATTGTTACATTCTCACCACTGTGCAATGCTTGTGCAATTTCCTTAACTCTGGACTTAAATGAATCCATCATGGCTTCTGTGTCTGACTTTCCCAACTCAAGAAGGCCCATTGAGTATGTCTGACAAGAGGGAGTTGTTATTTCAAAATCTTGGTAATGCCAATGATATTTAGTAGTGCCATCTCCATGGAGGGTGTTTCCAACTACCTGGGAAGGGTCAGCTTCTTCTAGCATAGCCCTCCCTAGTTGTACATCAGCAATGTGCTTAGCCTAAACAAGTAGGCGAGAGTGGACGGCCTTGCTTGGAAGTCTTGACAAACTTTTCCCGGCCAATTTTTTCAAAACTGTTTGTATTACTTCATTGACCTTGCTCATTGAAACATTCATGGCTAGCAGTTCCATGATCACTTCTTGCACCTCGTCAACATACTTCCCATCTTCAAATGTGCTGATTGTGTCATCCTCCAGCAAACAAGTTAGCTGTTGTAATTCTTTGTTTTTTTCTTTCAACTCTGGCACATGATTCAAGCTTTAATATGTTGGCAGCATGCTCCTTTAACAAATCAATTTCATTAGCCTGTGTGCTCTTTTGCTTTTTAATATGTGACACCTTTTTCTGTAAGCCAATTTGCTGCTTTTTCAGCTGTTCAACTTCACTTTTGGCTTGTTCAAATTTTTCCTTGACTTCTGAAAGCTCATTGGAGATACTGCACTTTTCCACTTCAAGTTCAGAAATTCTGGATTTAAGATCATTAATCTTTGAATGTGCCCTTTACTGCCTCTTTTTCACATTTCTAGGTGTATAGGATGCTAGTTTCTCTTGAATCTCATTCAGCTTTTCTGATTGTTCATTGAACTGCTCTTGCAAACCTTTGAGATCTTGCTCAAAGGTATCCCTTTCACGTTTACACTTTACAGCTACACCAGCAATATTGTTCGTTATTGTACGCATGTGTTCAACAGTTGAAAAATATTCATCCTCCAAAGCTGCTTGGTCATCAATCAAAGCATCTTTCTCATCCATCAGTCTCTCACTAAAACTGAGCATTTTGCTGACAGATCTTTTTAGCCCCCTGTTTTCACCCTTAAGCTCTGCAATTTTTTTTGACTTGGGTGTTAGTGTTTCTCTCACCATTGGTGCATTTGAGCCAGGTAAATGAAACAAACTTTGCTTCAGCAATTCAAGTTCCTCTTTCTTTTTATTTTCACCAAGCTTTTGGCCTTTTTTCATTAAATCATTGCATGATTTGTTCAGAGTTTGAGCTGTCACACCACTCAGATACCTTTGCAGTTCGAGTGGAGTCAAAGCAGTTATCCATTGAAGCATTTGGTTAAGAGAATTCCTCTGTTTCCAGAGTTCCAGGATAAGACCAACAGTAAAGGACTCCCTCTTCAAAGGTTCCAGATCCCCACTCTTCAAGGCTGCCACATCCAAACCATTTCTCAGACAGTAAGGTCCCCCAAAACTGCTTTTGTTTAACAGAACATTATCTGTCAATGGAATTAAAAACATCATTAAATCTCTGTTCTTATAATCTGTAACACTTCAAAATTTGAGCACAAAGTAAAGCTCAGTCCAAAACAATACTCAATATGTCAATAGCTAAAGGCCATAGATTTTCTCTTTGGTGGAATAATAATATACAAGCAAAAGAACACTAATATTAGAATATTAAACAATAGGATACCTATATTAGTGCATACAATATTCCAATAATAGTAGCGAATTCAAGTGGGACATGAACATGTTTTACTAATTTACACAATTTACTGAATACAACAATCACCAAGCTTCTGTGTCAGGTTCAGCAGGAAAATTCTTAAAGCCATAAACAGCGCATTTTCTTTTCTTTTCTAATAGTTTGCTCGTAAAGTGAAGCATAAAATCACTTGTCTAAAAAAGCTCAATAAAGCAAAGAAATATCTGCTTACCCTCTGTTTTACTCGAATCCGAAAGGCTTGTTGAAGTTGATGGCCCCTGGCAAACTTGATCCTTGCTATGCGCCATGACTTCTCGGTGCGCGTTGGAACTCACATATTATAACTCGCTCTCCGGCGCATGAAAACACGTCAAATTCGACTGATTTTTTGCTTAACAAAAACCTTAAAGGCTATAAAATACTTCAGGTGTAGTTTAAACCAAATAACGATAATAAATCTCTTCGAAAATAGCTTCTAATTTAGATAATCAACTATATTTTGTGAACTGCGGACATTTGACCAAAGTAACCACTGCCTAGGAGTCCCCTGATCCTTTAGCCCTATTTTTTCATACGTTAGCGATTGTTTTGTTGCGAATGAGCACTGCGAAATTGAATTTTGCCTTCCCCAGGTCAGGTCAGGTTTAGTCAAGCATGGTGGCCACGCTTCACTCACGATCCCTGACGCAATAGAAATAAGCCACCAATCACGATGAAATTTAAAGGTTTTATTCTCAAAGGTATCTTCTAAAGGTGGGTGAATTTTAATTGTAGAAGAACACAATATATTAACGAGAATAAACGGAAAGTTTGGAAGTGATAATGTTTTGGCTCGATTCACGTGGGAAAATCATGTGACTAAACTCCCTATTGATAAGCTGTTGGCATACATGTACATGTTATTACAGATACAAAGAATGGCGTTTGCTTTTTCCTGCGAAGGGCAAAAATTCCACTTCTACAATCTATTGTTAGATGTTTTATATGGAAATTAGTAGGTTTGTGTTTGTAGTGAATGTGTGATTTATATTGTTCTCTGAAGGATTTCTTTAAGAATTCTACAAAAATGAAACACAATGAAAATCAAGCTCAAGTGTGCCACTTGCCGTATAAGGTTTTGCTTAATCTCTCTATTTTTAATTTTCACTACATTTAACTATAGCTCGTGGGCTCAACAGAAGCCCATGCATTCTTACATCAAACTAGTGAAACAATCTCAGATACATGTAGTGCAGAGTGCAATTGATAGCTCTGGCACGGTAGTCCGATACTGAGTAAGTACTCACCCCTGCTCCATTCACTTCCAGTTTATGTCTACCTTGGTAGTCTCAGCTAAGGGCTCTTCCCCTTAGCAGTGCGTATGTTTCAAGGTTGTACTTTCATTCAAGGTCCAAACATGACATACAATTACTGTTTATCAAGGCAGCTTTTAAATTTTACTCTGGGGTTTTACGACGATTTTTGTTTATTGCAAATTCAATAATACCTTAAACAAACATGACAATTTAGCTCTTCGCCCAACTTTGTAACCTGATACTTTTGTTTTCCTTGCAAAGGTTTGTAACATGAAAGCCTTGTTTTCTCTGAAACACATGTAAGATGCGCTTGTTTTTTAGGGATAAAAGAAAGTGAAGAAATGGAAGGGAAACAATTTTTTTTCTCAAAAGGCAAATTTTCTTATCACCCATGAACAAGAACTAATTTACTTATCGGATAGTCACTTATTAGATAATCACGGAAGGTAAACATCGCTACTTGGTGGATATTAACCAGCATCGGTGTACAAGTTGCCCCAAAGACTGATTACATTAATTTGCACTTTCATTAGGTGCCGCTGAGTCTGGAGCAATACTTGAGCACTTTCTTGGTTTCTTTTGTCACAAATTTACAATTTGCAGTTTATTAAAACCATTAACTTGGGAACTTTTTAGTCTCTCTTGCAGATGCAAGAAATAAACAACCGCTAAGGAGAAGCTATGCATTTCCATTCTTTCGCATATAAGGATCCTTTTCTCCTGGAAGGGTCTTTAATCCACTGCATTCACTGTAAATATAAATTAACAAAAACTATTAATTAGAATTCCTTAAAAGGACGTCCCTTGTACATTGCTTCAATTGTCAATAATTCACTATTAAGGGATTGGTTTCTAAACTAAATTTTCCCTCATCTGAAGAGGATCACTAGATAAGAATAATGAAAAATTTCTTTAATTTACCATTGTTCTGAATAGCACTTGAAATATATGCTGGTCTTCTCACTGACCATTCTTGAACATGTTTTCATACCAAATGTTTGAGTATCATTTACTTATTGCCCATTCTTTGTAGTAAATATTCATATAACTAATTAATATTGCTGTGAGCAATCTATGATTAAAATTCATATGAGAATGCTTACAAGTGATACCAACTTTTGCATTTGTCACAAGCAACCCATTGTTTTGTGCCTTTCTTTGATGTACTGTATTTCAGTCCACATTTAAAGCAATTGTCACTTGTCTTGTCTGGCACTAACGGAGAAAAAGATACTGAGATTGACTCCATTACACTTATGAATATAGTTATTTTTAATAATTAAAATTATGCAGTCAGGAGAATTCCTTTTGTGAATAGGCTACTAATACTGATTCGAAGACAAGTCTTAACACAACACCTGGTTTTAATCCAAAAAATTCTTAGTCAGTGATTCTGTGATAGCAAGTGACTTCAGTTTACTTGACATATTACAAGGCAGATGTATGGTACATATTGGTGTAATGTTTCTGTGAAAATTGGATTATTTAGTTTTTTGCTTATATCTGTTTGTGATTGTTCAAAATTTGGGAAGAATATCTGTTGCCACTTAATTAAGGGAGATTAACCAAAATTATTAATGCAAATTATTCAACCCTCAGGATCATTTTGGCATCATGAGTGTAAATTACTTGCCATTATTGGGGGGGGGGGGGGGGGGGGNCCCTCAGCATCATTTTGGCATCACGAGTGGAAATTACTCGCCATTATTGGGGAGAAGGAGGAGGTCCTTTTTATAATGAAGAGTTTTGAATGTAAATTAATACCTTCTATGGCCACAGGTTGTGACAGCAGAACCCCAGAAGCTTCCTCAGTGAATTCTAGCTGCTTTCTTGTTTGAGTCATTATAACCTGAATTCAAGACAAAATCAATTCATTTAAATACAAAGCTAAAACTTGAAGTTAAGCATTCTTTATGTACATCATATATGATGACACTTCAAATCCCAATAACTCAATTCTGTTTTTGGTAAATTGAATTTACAACCATTTTCCTTCAGCTTACAGTTGTAGTTTTTCCTGAGATGGTTATCTGAAATTCAATGAGATTAACTTTAAGTACTTTTTGGGTTGTAAGTCTGACTGTTATTGAATTAATGTAAAAACAGGGCAAATCTAGTTGAATTTACCTTTGCTGGTGGCTGGTATGGTGTTCTCCCCACCTAAAAAATAATAAAGGAAATCAACCTTTGTGTCCTCATTGCATTATGATTTCACAAAATGTTAACACTGCATGCTTAATTTCGCCTTGCTTTCAAAGTGCAAACTGTATACATTTTATCATGACTGAATCCCTAGCTAAAAGTTACAAATTAACATGAAAAAAATATATTTAACAAGTGTCAGTCTGTCAGAGGTTTGAGAGGAAATGTGATGAAAACAAGGCTACTAACTAAAGGGGTAAAGTTGAACTACATGAATGTATGCATGCAAAGGCCTAATTTGCAGTTAAGAAATTACAGTTATTACCTCTTTTTCTTCTAATGATGAGGAACAACCTGGTTTGGGCTCTAGATCTGTTGATGTTGAGGGTTTAACTATTTCCTACATTTTTAACAAATCAGAATTAATTTCACATAAATGATTGACATATCTTCAAATAAAAGCAAAATTGCAATGTTATTGCCGTAACATACATGTGTAGGCGATGTAAGTGTCCCCACTGTCTTTGTATTTGTTACTGTAGTGTCTGCAGCGACTGGCAAATTCCAAAATGAGACGAAACAAAACGAGCTCGAGGTGTGTCAGGACAAACTAGTGGGTGGGACTACTTTACAGGTCGCCTTCAAGGGTAGACAAGTAAACTACGGAAAACCAAAGTTGATGGTATCAGCAATGTATTGCATCAAATTAAACGATCGTAAACTGAAATAACAATATGTGACGAATTTCTATCAATTTAGCGGAAAAGTTGCGTAACAAATAGTCAAAACTTACACAAGACAAACTAACAATTAGGAATCGATAACATAACAAAATCGAATAACAATACATCAATCAAAGGCTCCTTCGAGCTACCTCATGGTATGTGGTAATTATTCTATGAAGTACTGTCCTTTGCCTCTTTTGGAACTAAGGAGTGTTGCATTTGTAAGGTGTCAAGTTGAAAAGTGCATCATGTTAATAAGCAGCCATTAGTTGAGCATGT